CACTGGTGGGGGTTTGTTGTGAGATGCATGTCTGCCTGCCTGCTTCCATACCCTTCGTGAGAGAGGGTCGAGTCGAGGTAAAGGGTAGGTTAGGTACGTATCTGCCTTCCCAGCGAGCAAAAAGACCGTGCAGCACACCGAGGGCACTCTTTCCAACATTCAGGCAGGTGGGTGTGCCTGGGTCAGATCGAGGATGGTTGCACAAAAAAAACACCTTGCAAGTTGTTGTGTTGGTGTTGGTTCTGTTTCTTTGGCGTTTGGCGACTATTCTACGCCGCGGAGCCGCTTTTGACGTCCCAGGTTGGTACCAACCTAAGGTACCTAGCCTGTAGGTGAACTGGGGGCTAGCGAGCCCGTCTAGACGCGTGTTTGCCGACGGAACGCCCAGGTCGCCCCCGCCCGGCGCTCCTGAAGACAAGTCCTCAGGTACCTTCTGTTCTTGCCCGTCATGTCAGTCCAGCTGGTGCCAGGACCACTGGCCCGCGTGGTGCACCAGGAACGCCCACCACGGTACGTACCTGCTCCCTGACCACGGGAAGGATGCACTTTGGTTTTCGTCCACCTTGTCTGTGATTGCACCTGCTGTCATGGAAGATTGCAATGCATCTTGAATACTATTCCTGCCACAAGCCTCAACATCTGCGTCTCTCTTGCTGGCACCTTCTCGCAGACACCTTACCTTATGCAAGTAGCATGCTCACGTGACTATTCACGCATGCTGACCCGAGATAAGCTGACTGGCCCTTGCTCCGTTGGCATGGGATTGCTGGCAGGGACAGGGCATGCTTCGTCTTCATTTTGACCGCAACTTTCCACCAACGTTCACCACTTACATTACCTACCTGCCACGACCTTACCCACTTGCCACGCAACGACTTGAACTCTGGCAGCCAAAGCGAGAACGAAGCTCCCGTCTTTTGCAAATGAAGGAAACAATTGTTTCTAATATTGGGTCAACAAATTCTCCGAGAATGCACGGCACCGCATCTCAATCACACGATACCTGCTCGAAGTCCAGCCTCCTCCAGCCAATGGCGTGTCTCGCTTCCGTCTAAGCGCCTATTAAGCGCTCACTCAACGACAACATCTCCTTTCAACATCTGGTCCTGCTCGCCTTTGTCTCCTTTCTGGAACCTGTTCTCCACATGGGATTTAACCATATCGCGGAGATCTATGCAGCACCGGAGCGTCTACAACCTATTAATAACTCCCGGTATCAACCACATGCCACATGCTTTGGCCGCGCCCTAGCTTGAGATTGGCGATCTCCCATCCCGACGAACTTCCACTTTGTGATTTCACACACTCTCTTTCCTAGCCGCCAAGTTCTCTATGCGCCGAGCAACAGGTTCCCGCAGAAACAAATCAACATCCAGTCATCATCGTCAGCGTGACGCCCCTCAATGTTCTCCGTGCCCATGCCAGCGGGATCGCTCAGCGTCACGCTCGTCGACCATCCTCACCACCACACCGCCATCCCAACGAACACCTGTTCCGCACCCCGCAGACCAAGATCTCCAGATGGGCAAATACGCGGCCTGCTTTAGACGCCTCACCCCATCCGTGTGTTCACAGAAGACTCGCCGACGGGAGACCCTGGAAGCAAACCAACCTGCTTGATCGTGGCGTCGAAAGAGCCACAATCACCAAGTTCGTCCAGACGACCTCCCGTCATTGGGCCGCTCGACCAACCTCAATGATGCAGGACCATACATCCGGGACGCCCTCATGAACCCGTGAATCCGTCTCTTCCCTTCTGGGAAACCCATCTGCCCGAACCACCCCCGGCCGTCACCTCGCCGTCCGGGGACGGAGCAAGCATGCAGCACGTCAGTCCAACATAACCGCCTCTCCACGTCGATATTTTTAGCTGCCGCTGCTATATTAAGCCAGTCGCCTCACCTGCAGCCGCCGATGAGCTGCATCTTGCTTAATGAGACGTCACGTCCCGGCTCAACTTCAACTGCCCATCCGCCCACTGTAAACCCCTTCCATCCTTATCTATCGTGATTTCCATGTCGTAAGAACAAAGGAGGCAAAGGCGCCTTCCGCTGTGGTCCCTTTTTCCATTTCCACTTTCATTTGTCTCAGAAGGAACATCTGACCTGCCGCTACCCCTGACATCATCTCATGGCGCACTTCTAAGCGCGGGACCACAGAAGGCGGGCACCGAAACAAGACCAGCCTCCTCTCCTTCCGCCGCGTGTATGCATCCCCGTCAACACACATCATGCAGTGGCCCATATGGCTCGCCGGCTGGGCTCGACGTTATCTCGGCCGTTTCATCATGGCTGCTACCTCGCTCAAGCAAAAGACAAGGGCCGATCATCCAGAGAACCCCCCTGCCCACATCACATCCCCCACGCAAGGCATCACCTGGCAAGGATGCGGACCGCAATTGCTTTTCATTTCGTCGTTTCAAATTTCTTTTCCTGTCATCGGATCTAGAGGCGGGTGTTTCTCCTCCAATGCTCGTAAACCCTTGGGCATCTCTATCTCTACAAACAATCCTGACACGACGCCGGGCCAGACATGCGGCCCTCGAGCGATATCCACCCCTCTCGCAACTCGCACCATAGAGCCAGGGGGTAGCAAAGATGCTCTCGTTCCTTCGAGTATCTTCCTCAACCTCGTCCCTGCTCATGAGTGACGCATCTCGGCTACCTCATCACAGCGCCTAGCGTCGACAAGTACATCGTTGTCAGATGGTACTTCGAAGATACTTCACTTCTTTTGCCTCTTCGCGCTCTTGTCGTCATTTGCGCCACCGCCATCTAGTACGCTTGCGCTTCGCTTGTTTGATGCTCCGCTACTCCCCGGCCGAGCCGACTTCTCCTTTTCCTTATCCGCGTCGCCCTTGCCGTCGCCCGCGGCGTCCGGCGCTGCACCCGGTTCTTCGCCGTTCGTGGCCGGGGCTGCCTCGGCATTGTCTTGCTCGCCGTTGGTCTTCGGTTCGTCCGTCTTTGCAGCTTCCCCGGCTGCCGCTTCTGCTTTCTTCTCCCCTTCTGCAGGCTTGTCTCCTTCTTTCTCAGCAGGCCTCTCGACTTCCTCGCCATCCTTAGTTTCCGAGCCCGTCTCAGGCTCTGGTGGCGCGTTGGCCTTCTCTCGCTCCGCTTTCTTAGCCATCTCAATCTTAACTTCGGCATCAACCTTGTCCGTGACTTTTCTAGCGTCGAGCAAACTATTAACGGCACCCAACAGCTGTTCGTACTGGGCAGTGACCGCGGCAGTAGGCATGACAAGCCGCGGCGGAATGTCGAGTTCATTTAGCGTATTCATGATACGCAACTGCTGTTGGTTGGATTTGTGTGTGAACAGCTTGTTGATCTTCTCATATCGGAACGTTGGGCCGCTGGACAAGCGATCGTGGTGCGAAACACCATAGACAAATTGCTCGGCTTCGGAGAGCTTGCGGCGTTCCTGCTGCTGCTGGCCCTTCTTGCCGCCGGCGGGCGCTGTCGGTGTCTGAGCGGCGCTGCTGGGGGGCTCCTTGTGTGGCTTTTCCGGAGGTGCAGCGGCGGCGGCGGCGGCGATACTCTCGCGACGGTTGGCGGTCTCTGGCGCTGCAGCCTGTTGACCTGCAGGCGTAGCAGGGCTGGCACCGTCTGCCGCCATGATAGACTTCCGCTTCTTGGATTTGTCGGCGTTCATCAGATTCTGTAATAGTGTCTGAAGCCCCGCACTCGACTTGAAGGCACTTATGTCTTGGTCGGTATGCGGGTAATCCAGACGGTTGTACAGCTCCCGACGCTCCTCGTTGAAGCGGTCACTGCGCGCGAGGATACGCTTGATCTCTAGCAAGAGGGACTCCTCCTCCTTGGCCTCCTCCTTGGATCTCGTTAGAGCGTTGTTCGCAAAGTCCTTCCGCATCTTCTCCTGATTTGGATTGAAATTGGCCATGAGCTCATGGAGGGCGTACTCTGGTTGAGTCATGTACTGGACGGGCTTCTGAACTGCCATCATCTTCGCCGCAACCTCGTAATACCGTGCCTTCAGATCTTCCATTGTCCTCGGCTTTGGTACGGGAATGATAGCCTTACTCTCGTCCCCGTCCGCCGAAGCCTCCCCATTGATGGCCTCTGGTAGGTAGTCGTAACGATCCCATATGATCGGCCATCGGAGGTCAAAGTCCTTGACCAGGGTGAGCAAGTAGTCCGTCTCCTCCTTGGTCCAGTCGTCGCTCTGCAGGTTTGTCCTGTACTGGTCCTCGCTGTACTGCGGCACGTCCACCTCGACGTTGTACTTAGCAAACGACGAGTCTTCCGGCTTCGCAGCTGCCTCGCTATCCGCGTCATTCATTTCCGCATCGCCCTCTGCCGGTGCCGCACCATTCTCGGGTCCTCTCGTCTTCCTCCGCCAGTGCTTCAATACCAGTGCGCCGCTGTCGCCTCGTGCCGAGTTTGTAAACGACTTCAGCACCCACTTAGAGGCCGGTTTCCTGCTCGCAAATCGCCGCTTCTTGAATATCGAGACCTCGGGTACGATTGCGATGGGATTGTCGCCGCCCAAGTTCTGAACCTCTCGCGCAAGACCTTTCAGGTTGGGACGCGGGGCAGAGGTCTTTTGCTTCTTTGCTGGGCGCGGGCCGCCATGGCTGTCGGGGAGGTTGAGCACGTCTCGTACGTCGGAAGAAGTCATTGTGGCGGCAGAGAGAGGTGAGTCGGTGGAAAGGACGTTCGTTCACGATCGGGCGGCCAGTCGAGGTGGATTTTTAATTGACGGCGACGGGTCGACTTGGTCGCATCAAATCATCACCAGTCGGGCGCGTGCATCAAGGATATGGGTATCGAAATTTTCGCAGGAATTTTCTCGTATTAAAAATTTAATTTTGTCGTGTCGTGATGCGCAGTGATGGAGAGAATTGAAAAAAAGTCGATTGATCGATGGCGGCAAGGGCCCCGGAAGTGCTGCATTCTCTCAAATCGACGACGCGAGGTCGCATCCTGCGCGCAGGCTCTCTTTCTGAACCGCACGTGACCCACCTGTAAAAGGTCAATGCCACCCTTGTCGGCCGCCAATTTTTCGAACGTGGCAGCTTCGACCTCCCGCGCACCTTGGGACTTTATTGTGGGTACCAGCAATTGGCTGATCTGGCGCTATCTGTTCGAGACGACATCTCCAATTCCAACGTCCACCCCCTCGAGCCCCGGCAGAAGAAGAAGGACAACGGTCGACGAGCACGAAATCGCGAACCCACCGCTCCCCCACGATTCGATCAATCTCCCATCCCGTCAATTCGCTTCGCACCGTCGCACAAGATGAGACCGTTTCTCCCCCTGCTCTCGATGAGCGCCGTCGCGCAGGCGCTCTACTTCTATATCGACGGCACCTCGCCTAAGTGCTTCTTCGAGGAGCTCCCTAAGGATACGCTCGTTGTTGGCCACTACACGGCTGAGGAGTGGGATGACAGGATCAACCAGTGGGCCAAGCACGATGGTCTCAGCATCTACATCTCGGTCGATGTAAGCTACCCCCTGAGCTTGCATCATCCCTCTGGAGCTCCATAGACCCAGGATGCTGCGAGTTGCAAAGATCCAAGTGCAATTGCTTCCATGAGAGACAAAACCTAATTGTAAATCTTTCTAGGAAACCTTCGACAACGACCACCGCGTCGTCTCCCAGCGCGGCTCTGCTTCTGGCCGCTTCACCTTCACGGCTGCCGATGCCGGCGACCACATGCTCTGCTTCACCCCGTCCTCCACCTCTGGCCGCGCCGGCTGGCTCTCTCAGCACTCCCACAACGGTGGCATCCGTCTGACGCTTGACCTCGCTATCGGCGAAAGCAGCGAGATTGAGAGCTCTGACAAGAGCAAGCTCGAGGATATCGCCACCCGTGTCAAGGACCTTAACAACCGCCTTTCCGACATCCGCAGAGAACAGGTCTTCCAGCGTGTACGTTGTCTCTCCCGTATTGTATAGTTTGTTCGGGACCTTGCTGACCAACAAATAGGAGCGCGAAGCCGAATTCCGTGACCAGTCCGAGTCCACCAACGCCCGTGTTATCCGATGGATGCTCATCCAGCTTGTCGTGCTTGCCGTCACTTGCACCTGGCAGCTGTCGCATCTGCGGTCCTTCTTCATCAAGCAGAAGCTCACGTAAAGAAATTTAAAAAGGGGAAGTTTTTGGTTTACCAGAGCATGCAGGAGTTTGGAGGGTCGGACGACCTTGGTATGCATTCATGCCGGGACTGGAGGAGGGCCGTTTGATTGCCCTGTCTGAAATGCTCATGTTGGCTCGGCTGGGGAAACGGACTGTAATGATATACACACCATCTGTAGCTACTATAGCGAGGCTCGGTCAACGAAGCACATGTCAAAAGTTGAATTAGCAGTACCTTGTGTCGACCTTATTTGGCTATTACTTGACTTCAAGAGAGGCATGGAAAGCAGTGTCCATAGCAGGCCGGCTGTGGAAGAGGAACGCAATGCGATCAGTTCTTTTGCCTGCAAATCGTGAGTCCGCTTGAAAGCTGAGAACATGACCTTCCAACATTGCTCTCCATGGGCTGCGGGATGCCCAAAGCTGTCTCTGGAGGGCACGTATCCCCCCCCCCCCCCCCCCCCCCCCCCCCCCCCCCTCNCCCGTCCCCCCCCCCCCCCCCAAAGCAGCTGCTTCCACTTATGTTTCTTTGATGGAAATGTGGTCGGGTTTATGTGTATTATGTTGAAGTTGTAATGGTTATCTCAAGCTCACCTCAGACGCCAACCCACATCTCTTCATGATCCGTATCGGCATAGCCTACTGAGTCTGAGTAACCCAGTCTTCGCGTCTATCTGCTACGAGTTAGCGAGTATTTCCAGAAGATGTTCTTGATTAATCTATTTGCATGCCGTAGATATTTATTGTGTCGCCCAGCGTCTTGCGTGTCAATGAGTTTGTGTCACACGCGTCTTCTGTCGAAAGTCACTTGGCCTGTTAACATGTCGGCGGCAAAGAATCATTCGAACGAAGCTAGAAGGGTTGAGAATAACCCGGACTACAACAAACGGAAGGGGATCTTATACATGCTGTAGATATTGGTAGAAGTCTGGTCTCTCGGTGATCCCAGGGGTAAGAAGGGAGTACTGGTCTTGTAGATCGTTACCAATGCCAGCAGAATATCACATGATAGTGCATAGTCATATTGAAGTTGATCTGGGTCACACTTTCAAGTAGCTTATTGACATAACTTCTTGGTATGGTTTCTTCGCCGTGTTGAGCACCTTCCCATCTCGTCCCTTGGTATCACGATACCTCTATTTCATTCCTGAAGCCTCACGCCCAGTCCCTTTTCCACAGGGCATTTTCCCAGTGAGATCTCCGGTAGACCCGAATTCGGGCCCGACCTTGAAACCCGACTTCTGAAGTTCGTCCACGTGCCCGTGATGGTTGCCTGTCGTAAGCGAATTTCATCCTAATATAAACTCGACTTTCACCTCTCACCTCGCACCTTTCACCCAGCCCCCTTACCCACCCGCTGCTTCCCATTGAGAACGAAACAACAACGAAGAGGACCTACTTACACGGCTTGATCCCCAAGATATCTCACTGATAGTAGAAGGCATTCCACTAAGGCGTAGTGGTTCAGGTCAAACTGTTGAGTAAGCGGTATCGCCCAGGACGAGCGTTCGAAACCCGATCGAGACCCCCCGATACCTACTCGACGACAGGCTGCCCTCCCCCGACCGATACCGACCGACCGACCCGAGCGAGATGTCCTAGCATGTGTACCAAGAGATGTAGCCCCCGTTCGACACCAGAGTGGTGAACTCTTTTGACCCCCTCACTCTATTAGTCATTAAGCACAAGGTCTGCAGGCATTCCATCTTGCGCAGAATCTTCGCGTCGCTTGCTGTGTAATATAGAGACAGTGAATTGATCTGGGAGATGAGTTGCTATGAGGACAGCGCTACCTTGTACGCTAAGCTGAACAGACATCTGGGACGTCTCTAGCAGGCGCGACGCACTTAAGTGAGATTTAAATCACCTATGTAGGGTAAGCATCACATTATCAAAAGAATGTTTTTCATCGGCCCATACGAGTTCCATTTCTGAGAGGCGAATAAGTCCTGTCTCTCTCGCTTGGTATCATTTCTATTATACATATCTAATCATCCCTTGCTCGCTTGTCTTCTCAGACACTGGTCCCGGTCGTTCAATCTTTCGAAACAACTGGTTCCCATACTTCACCTTGACGATCCGAACGGGGTGCCTCGGCGTGTTTGGAGGTCGGTCGTCCAGGTTCACTCTCCAGGCACTGGAACCGATATTGTCTGGCGCGGCTTGCTCCAGACTCGTCATGGTTGCCGCATTCTCCTTGACCTTGGCCAGATCCAAACCCTTCTCCATGTGGTGAAACGCCCTCTCCTTGTTCACCAACCTCGAGAAACCCCTGATGGTGAAATCACTCGCCTCATAGCCGGCACGCTCGAGGCTTTTCAGCGATTGCACTGTCTTTCCGACATCCTGCAGCCCAGCGTAGCCTGAAATGAGGGTATTCCAGGTGACTTCGTTCGGCTCGACGCCCTTTTGCATCATCATCGTGCGAATCCTGCCGCCGGTCTCCTTGTCTCGGTTGAATAGGAAACCGGCAAGAAGAATATTCCAGGTGTAAATGCTCGGGGGTGGATGGAGTTGTGTTTCTTGGCTGGCGTTTGTTTCTTTCTCGCTGGCCTCCCGTTCCCCGAGGGTATCATGGAGCATGTCGCCGACGATGTCCAGTGCTGGTCGCTGCATGTGTTTGTGCCCCATGAGGGCCTTGAGAATTACGTCGTACATGAAGGTGCCCTTCTCTTTAACGTGCTGTACTGCCATGGGATGCCTGTTGATGATCAGTTGTCGGAGGTAGGCGTATAAGGAGATGAGCTTAATCGGTTGCGCGAGATTCTTGACGAAGGCGATGAACATGATACCCAGCGTGGATGCTGTCGGGTCCATCTTTTTCCTGACCGCGGAAGTAGCTGCGTCGAGACCGGGAAACACCTGCCGAGCCAACTGCCGTTCTGGGGGCAAGTTGTTTCCGTACTGCTGAATGTGCATTGAGAGGTTCATAGGAATAAGAGCCTGCAGAGGGGCTAGGTTGAAGGCTTTGGAGTAGTAGTAAAGCATAGGGCCGAAGGCTGGTATGACGCTAGCCCGGCCTAGCTTCCGCTTCTCACTGGCCTCAAGTTCAGAAAAGTGAAGGATCGAGTACAAGAGGTCATTCATAAAGACGGTGTCCACAGCTTTGAGTCGGATGGCTTCCTCCACAATCTTGTTGATGACCCCTGACAAGTTTTCCATCTTGGCGCCGTCAAGCAAGGTGCTGAGGAGTACCGAATCTGGCTCGATACCACTCCCCTTCATCGCCTCGTAAACTTTCCAAGCCTTTTCAGTCGCGCCCGACGAGCAAAGGTTCCGAATCATTGCCGTGTAGTTGATCATGTTGGGAACGAAACCATGCTCAAGCAGCACGCTAAACGCATCCGCGGCCGAGAACTCGCCGTGTGCGACGTCTCCAGGATTCAAAGACAATATCGATGTACAAAGACTTCGCCAAGCTGAACCTTGGAGGTCTCCGTTGGCCTGTCCTTTTCCTTTTCCTTTGCCCTCTGCTTGCATTGCGCGGATAGCTATTTCAAGTGACGCTTGCTTGTAGACCGGCGCCGAAGATAAGCGATGAGCAAATTTGAAGAGGGTGTTCAGATGCAGCGGATGCCCCTGTTTAGATAAGACTTCGTATAGGGCATGTATTCGTGCAGGGTCGACATATCTCATAAGGTTGTGGATGGTGTTTTGTCGCAAACGCATGTTTTCGAAACGCCCGTTATCGCGCCTGCGCACGAGAAACTCGCGCCCCAACACGAAGTCACACAGAGCTGCAGCGTGAGTCTGGAGTTCATCTCCGCGAAGCTCTATTTGCCACATGGCGAGGAAGTGGATGGCATCTACCATAGCATAAGCTGGCGGCTGCCAATCCTGTGTGATAGTCTGCAGGACATCAACTGCTCTACCAGGACAGAACCACAGAGCCGAAAGAATAACGGTGTTGAATAGCTCCTCTCTCTTTCTGTTGTCCCAGGAAGACCAATCGTTGATGGCGCTCTCGAAAGCTTCGTCTTCGAGGAGTCGAGCCGGTGGACTGCTGGTTGCGTGTCCCGCCAGACATTCGATGATGTTTGCGAAGCCATGCTTCCACTCTTCCCAAGCCTTGACTTGGTTTTTATCGAGTACATGGTGCAGATAACTCCATCGGATGGCTTGATCAATTTTGTTGTGTTTCGACTCTTGAACCCATAGTTTGATCAAGTGAGGAGGAGAATAAGCTTTTGGACCGTTAGGTTCCTGTGTGCCTGATTCCTGTTGCTCTGTAGGCGGAGAATTTTTGGTGTGTTGAAGGTTTTCTTTGCGAGCAGCTTCTGTCTTCTTGTTGATAAACTGTATGAATTTGTCCCCCTCACGTGTGGCATCTTGAGGCAGCAAGTAGCCTCTGCAAGTGGTGAAAGGCCGAAGGCCAAGCTGCTGATATCGCTGCAGACATGGCTTGCAAATAATGGCCCGGAGCATGTGTAGGTCCGTTTATCAAAGGGCCAGTGAGACTGAGAGATCCAGCGTACGGTCTGGATGGATTGCTGTGAGAAAATTGAAGAAACAGAAATTGAGAATGTAGATTTTCAGATGACGCTGGGGAGATTCGGACCCCTGCTAACCACCTTCGCGCTTAAGCGCAGCGGCAGGTGCCAACAAATAGTCCGTGCGGCCGTTTCTTAGCGCAATGTGGAAGCATTGGATCCTGCCGTGCGCCGCGTTCCAGCTTCCAGTTGGTCTACCTCTAATAAATTTCAGCCCGTAACGAAACTACCCTGCCTATCCAACTAGCAACCTCCGACTTCGTGGCGTACTTGGACCAAACCCGCCTCAAGAGAGCGACGCCCATCTTATACCACCCTAGAGACCTTCAAATCGAAAACCCGTGACTTCACGCCCAAGCACACAACCTGCTCTGCAACGCCATAATGTCGAGCTCACACGCGAGCCTAAGCGCGGCCGCCGACGACCGGAAAGCCCGCCTTGCGAAGCTCAAAAATCTCAAGAGGAAACAGCCCGGAGACGAAGTCGTGCCGCCAGAGTCAGAACGTGAAGGGTCGGCACCTGCAATAGAGAACGATGTCGCAAGGATACATCTATCGGGCCGCAACTACGACCCCGAAGTGCGCGGACCCAAGCTTGGCTTCGAGGCACCGCCGATACAAGACCTGGAGAAACCCACGCTGGAGGAGCAGGCGGCAGATATCGAAGCCGACGTGAAGGAGAAGGCAGCCGAGGAAGCGCAGGACGATAAGGGTATCGATCTGTTCAAGCTCCAGCCGAAGAAGCCGAACTGGGATTTGAAGAGGGACTTGGAGAAAAAGTTGGAGATTCTCAATGTCAGGACGGACAACGCCATTGCGAGACTCGTAAGAGAGCGCATCACCAATGCTCAGAAGTCGAAGCAGGTCGAGGGAGGAAGTGGAGAAGGCAACGCGTCGGGAGTAGATGGCGTCGCATTAGTGGAGGGACTGCGCGTGCGAGAGAGGGAGGAGGAAGAAGAGGAGCGACGCGAGAGGGAGCTAGACGAACACTTGGCCGTCTGAACAAGGCATTGTTTGCGAACATTAAAAGTACATTGTATTATGGTCTTGGGGACGGGTATGTCACCGATTCTACAACTAATTGATACCCACGGCTATCTGCCCGTATTCAACGACTGCGTCAGGGCCAGTCTCTTGCTGAATGGACTGAGACTGCGTTCGCGTTGGGCTTGTCTCTGCTCCGGTTGTCTTTCTTGCCTGTCGTTCCTGCCGCCTCGTCCAAATCGGCCAATTGACGCGCCTCTAAAGTTTCTCTCGCCGCCTCGGTTTGAACTATCGTCAAATCTTGGGCCCCGTCGGTCAGGAGATGCGGACAAAGACCGTCGATTGCCACGAACACCACCATCACGCGACATTGAAGACTCTCGGGATCCAGGGGATTCAAGAGAACGCTGGGGTGCCTGATTTTGTCTAGCAGCGGGCCTTGCGTAATCATCGTCCCTCTCGCGATATCTCCTGGCACTTTTGGCCGGAGGAGAGCGGCTATCTCTGGAGAGAGACCGCTGGCGGCGGCGAGGTGGCGATTGCGTTTGCCGACTTCTTGCAGACTTTCGGGACACAGAGCGATCGTCATCGCTTTCCCGGCTGAAGGACCTGCGCCGACTTCCATTGTCGTCTTTGGGCGACCTCAGGCTGCGGCGAGCAGATGCGGGTGACGGGGAACGACGTCTAGGTGGCGGCGAGGCAGAGCGGTTGGTCGAGATGGTGGAAACAGAATCAACCGACTCAGATCGCTGACGTTTTGCCTCTGTCTGCCTGATGAGTTCCTCGTCGCGCTCGTCCAATTCTCGCTTCCTGGCTCTCTCAGCCTCTTTCTTCGCAAGCTCCTCATCCGCCACACCTTTTCTGTACTTTGGTTAGCGATAAACGAAACCAGGCGCGAAGCTGATACGTGTGACTGACTTTCTCTGCGCATCATCCGGCACATCATTTGTCAGTTTGGGCATGAGTTTGGGGTTGCGCAGCTGCTGCGTTCGAGAGGGCCGAGACACGTAGGGTCTGGCTGCAGCTGACTCTTTACATTCATATGAGTAGTGACGTTCTGCGAAAGTCAGCGTAAGTGCATGATGCCGCTGGCAGTACTGTACATATCTCTCTTCAGACACTTTTGACACTGGACATTGGCCGGTGTTTGCTGGCGAGGGCCGCCGCGTCCTCTATAGGAATGCATTAGCGATGATTATGGGTTCCGCCGGTAGATGTCGATTGTTGATGTTCTGGCGTCCGGAACCAGTCAGTCAGTCTCGGTTGTCGTCTATTTCAGGACCTTGATCTGCAGTGTCGCAGGTGGGTTCGGGTCGGACAATGTTTCGTTTTGCCCAATTGATGTGAGTCTAAGCCTTGGGTGTAACAGCGTCGTTGTGGCTAAGGATGTGAACTCTTTCTGACGGAGGTGAGATGACCTGCAAGCCAGTGAGTGTACGGGCTCGGGGCATCGATTATTTCACGACCAAAGAAGTTTGGTTAGGCGCAAACAGCAGAAGGAGACGTCACATCCACAGGTGACAGCAGTGCTGGACTGCTCGTGGAACCTGGACTACGGCACGCCTTACGTAAGTGTGCCAGCTGGCATCGCCAAAGCAGCCAGTGACGGAAAAGTGAGCGCGCTTGGCTTGGTTTCCAGCCTCCTTTTCGCAGAGGAGTGCAGCATCAGTGCACCAGCCACACTCCAGACTTAGGAATCTACCGGGACTAAGCCACTTTTGGCTCAGGCTGTGGCCTTTTTGTCTTTCGCCAGCCAATTCAGGCCCGAGACCTCTTCAGTCCTCACCAGAATATCTGTGACCATACCTCATTCTTCAGCCTGACGTCCCACAAGACGTTGCGGAGGGGGATGGCAGTTGTCTGACACCATCTGTACCGACTTGAGACCACCATCCGCACGTTAAGGGCCTGTCGGCATTTAAGCTTCTTGTTCCTCAACTTCGGCCCTTGCGACCGAGGGGAGCGATTGAACAGACCCACGGCTCAACACGCAACGCGAGACAGAGCACTTTAAGCGACTCAAGGTCTCAGTGAGAGAGCAAGAGAGCGGAAGAGGACCCGGATTCGAAAAGCAGGAAGAGCTCTTCTTGTTGTCGTTCAGACTTCATAGCCCCCTGTCTGTTCATTCATTGCTTGAAGCAAGCAAGGCAGCTGGCGAGCCTCTGTGGGTGAGTGAGTGAGGTAAGGTGCGAAAGTGTCGCTTCCTTTCCGCCTTCTCCAGTTTCCCCATCTTCTTTTTTCCCTTTCCAGCGCAATCCAAAAACCCACACAGCTCTCTTCCCAATTCCTCCCACCAACGTCGCCCACACCACACCACCCACACCACCACCCCCTCCTTTGACGCCTGCTTGTGACGGTCTATCCGCCTCGCAGCCCGCCGAAATTCTGGCCGCCTCGCCCAATCTGCCGTGCGCCCTGCTGCCGTCTTGCTGCGAACAAGCTCTGGCTACAGCCGCTAACAGATAGCCGCCAGGCGCAGACCTAGTCGAGGCATCGTCGGACATCATCAACCAGCCAGTTTCTCCAACGAACAAGAGTACCGGCGCCATCAAACATCAACACCTTGACGGAAAATACGAAAGCAACAATGACAACCCTCTCCCGACAATGATCCACGGAACTCCTTTCTCGCTCTGCAGGCCCGCCTTGATACATTTTGTTCCTTGATTTCGGATATCGTCTTTAATCGTTCTTGAGCCGAAATTCAATTCGTCCCCCGCGCGCTGCTGTCTTCCAGCGCAACTATACCCATCAGACGACGACCTTCACTTCCATCCTATTATCCAACGCCCTACAGAACTCCTTCTAGCCATCAACTCGAGCTATGGCTACCGCCCAAATGCCAACGGACATACCCAAACCATCTTTCGCAAAGGTGCATACCTCCCCGGTCTATCATTCGTTTCGAGGCTATGAGCTCCTACCTTGCGCCGCGTGCTAACGATCACTTTTCTCAGGTCGCTGCTTCAGCATCGAAAGATTATCCTCCTGTCACTACCGTGCGACGAGTCGCCGCGCCATCCCAAGAACGCCCTGAACAGCCTGCGCTGACTGGCGCTCCCACACCTGTTGCAAACGGTGCCGACAACCACCCATCTGCCGCCATGGGCTCTACGAAAACCGCATCGACGGCCACCCAGCGCGAGCCATCCCCGCCCAAGAAGCCAGACTCAAGCGACCACGTTGTCGATGGACTGAAGGATTTGAACATTGGACGAACTCCCAGTCTTGTCGTTAACGGAACGGGCTCAACGTTCACCGAGAGATCAAAATCCGCAACTAAGGATGGATCGGATGATTCTCAGAGAGCGGATTCAAGCTCCGAGCTTGGAACGAAGCCTGCTAGTTTAGACGGGAAGAGCATTACTTCAGGAACTACCTTTGCGCTCGATGAGAAAGAATCTCTGCGCCCTGATGACAGTGCCAGCGTGAAAGCTGCTGCTGCCGAAGACGACGATGCCTTCTCGTTTCGCGGGCCGAACCTGCCCAACTCTAGGATGGGGTCAGACATTGCCGCGCGTGCCAGAGGCATCATCCAGCTCGGCGACATGCCAGACCGCCGTCTTGCCCAACCCGTATCTGGATCTTTGAGCCAGGGCATGATTACGCCGCAGAGCGCGTCCTCAGATCAGCAACAGCCTTCTGCGAATGCACTGTCGGCCAACTTACCCGACTCCGCCAATCTCTTGAACACGATCTACGGGCAGGCTCCGGATGAAAAGCTTTTGGAAGCCATGGCGTCTCCCAAAGATCGACTTTTTCTGCTTAGACTAGAGGCGGAACTGATCAAGTTTGTTCAGAATTCCAAGTAAGTCCCAGTGCAAGATGTAACGGAGCATCGTACTGACAAATATAGGGAACCGTATATGGATTTTCCTCCATCCAACTCATTCTGCAGAATGTTAACCCACAAGTTGGCTGATTACTATCGAATGACGCATCAATATGAAGCACGAATTGGATCAGTGCGAATCTTCAGAACTCCGTATGCCAGAGTTCCTGAGTCGTTAGCTAGTATTGCGGCTCCGGAAACTAGTGCTGAGACGCCACCGCCTCCTGCCGTTCTGCCAAGGAAGATTATGCGACGTGGTGAGGATGGGGAGCTTGCAACTGCCAGCGCCTCTCCGTCGAAGCCCACGTCCGAAACCGGAAGTGATTCCAAGGACAAGAATGCGGCTGGGAATCAAAAGTGCGTCATTGCCCCTGGACTGAGTAGTTTTCTTTGCTGACCAGAACAGGCTATCGAGAGAACAACGTGAGGAGGCCTACAAGCAGGCCCGAGAGAGGATCTTTGGCAACTCGGAGAAGACCGGAGAGTCAACCCCTGGTATGTTGTTGTAGATGTGGTAATGTGGACACCTCCGGCTGACAGCTACTGCAGACAACGAGGGCGAAAATGGAATCTCACGAGCCAGCTCCGTCTCGGCGAGAGACAAATCGAATGCTGGAAAGAGGGGCAAGACTGGGAAGCAAAGACGTGACGATTCGGACAGCTTCGATTCACGACACAACTACACTCCATACTGGGGTCCTCAGCAACAGACCTGGATGCCGCAGCCCCAATACGTCCCTGTGTCCAATCAGTACGGGGCTCCGGTTCAACAACCCTATTCGAATCAGATACAGCCTCCTCCCTACAACACCACTCCGACGCAATCTTTTGCTCCGATGATGCCCAACTCAGGTTATAACGCGTATCCTAACATGGCCCAGGTAAGGAGCTCTGCTGCCTTCGTGTTACATCCCTCTCTGACTTAGTGCTAGTATTCTCCTCAGACCAGCCAACCTCCATTCCAGCCACCTCCGAACGCCGCTGCTCGGGGTTATGGTGGACCTGCTCCTGGACCTGCTCCCGCCCAAGCCGGCTGGCAGCAGGGCTTTGCGCCAGGTCCGGCTCCGGCGGCGATGCCGCCATCCGGGCCTAATGCAGCCTCCTACACCCCGCGGGGCATGTCCGCTCCGCCTGGACAGAGCACTGTGCCTTATATGTACGGGCAGCTGCCAGCCAATGTCAATCCCAATGACCCTAAGAGCCAGCATCCCATTCCGGGTAGCTACAACCGTCATGCCTTCAACCCCAAGACGCAATCATTCGTCCCGGGTGGCGGCATGGCTCCGATGCAGCCGCCTCAACCCCCGTTCAGCGCCCCTGGATCCCATCATGGCAGCCCCCAGATCGGCTCACCTCACCTGGCGTATGCCGGGTATCAGCAACCGGGCCCGCCTGCACCGTACGGCGTTGTAGCAGGTTATGGCATGGCTAGACAGGGGTCAAACAACTCTATCCCCTCTTACCACGGTCCGCCGTCACAACACCCTCACCATCTCAACACTATCCCCCAAGCACCGGGTCCTCACATTCCGCCGCAGCATCCTTCTCAACATGTCGCCCAAAACCCGTCTCCTCACATCCCTAACAAACCCGTCATTCCTCAGGGCCCGGCCGGACAGACGTTCAGCCACCTGCCGCACTACGGCAACCCTGCTACTTTGCCGCAAAAGCCGAACATGGGCGTTTAGGTGCGCGTTTGACGTCGCTGTAGATGGTCTCTGGTAGAACGACTGGCGTCTGGGGGTTTACAAGGTACAGCATATTGGCGTTCAAACGGAGGACAGGATGGCATCAGATCATGTAGGCTATTGCATGCTAGAGCACTTTACGCAACTTAATTGTCAGTCAGGTTTTATCTCTCAAAAGGTCATATGAAATATGTGTGTTATGCTGAACTTGTGCATGAAAGCGTGAATATCATCATTGCAACTGCCTAGCGCATTCTAACCCTAGGCCGTCTATCCTGCCACTGCCATAACGCCATGACGGTTTTTCAAGTGTGGAATTCCTCATGATGCCATGCTTGCTACCTTGCGGCGGATGGAAAAAATATCAGCACCGCCTGCTGGCTTACTTGCTCTTTCAACCTCCGACGGCTCCCTTCTCCCCGTTTTATGTCCCCCCATTTTC